TGTGTGTGTGTGTGTTTGTGTGTGTGTGTGAGTTCCCGCGCGTGTGAGTGTGTGTGAGCGTGAGAGTGAGAAAGTGAGAAAGTGTGTAAGTGAGTGAGTGAGTTTGTATGTGAGTCACAGAGTAAGAGTGAGAGTGAGTGAGTGTGTGTATGAGTGAGTCAGAGAGTAAAAGTGAGTGAGTGACTGAGAGAGTGAGTGAGTGAGAGAGTGAGTGTGACGGTGTGTATGAGTTGTTCACTCTCCTTTCCCCAATTTTCTCTCCTTTTCTATTCCTCTCCCCTCTCTCCCACGCTTCTCTCTCACTCCCCTTCTCCTCGTGCCTTTCTTCCCCCCCTCCCCCCCCCCCATCCGACCTTGCTCTCGCGCCGTGGAAATAGTTTCGTAATAAAAACTATCAAAGCCTCCCCCCCTCACGACACCCCCACCCCCCTACCCCTAGTGGCGGCCGACCAGGGTCGTTCGGGGCAAAGGTGGGCATAGGAGACGAGTGGGGCGAGGGGGGGGGGGCGAGGAGCACAAAAAAAGGCGTGAGCAAGAGACTGCAAACACGTGCGTGAGATAGTTAAATAGATAAAAAAAAATAAAATAAAATAGGAGCAAGCGAGAGGGAGAGAGAGGGAGAGGGAGAGCGCGCGCGGGCGAGGGAGCTCCGAGCGACGGGGCGGCGCCGATGCCCATCTCTCGCCGGACGCGCGACTTGCCCCTTCGATAACCGGCCGGTAAATCCCCTCCTTCGGCCGGGCCCCTCGCTTTCCCCCTCGGCGTCACGGGAGGGCGGCGCCCTTCGTGCCCGCGTCACGAGAGGCCCCGACAACACGCCGAACTGCGGCCATGTGCGCGGTGTTGCCAACAGCCGCGCGCGCAATTTCTAACCCTCTTCCCCCCACCCCCCCCTCCCCTCCGCCGCCGACCTTGCTACATCTCCACAAATGCCGACTCGATCCTTAACCCCGATCGGCGGTCAATAATTATCGTCTGCTTGATCGTCTAACCCCGCGGGATCCAGTAGAAGCCGGGCAAAAACGTGCCATAAAAAAGACGATTGCAGCCGTTTAAAAAAGTCGGCGTCGCGTACTATACCCTCCTCTCCCCCTTCCCCCCCCCCCTGTTCCCTCCTTGGCACCTCTCCTTGTGGCACTAAGTGTTTCATCAACACTAAATCTTTACATAAAGACGCACACAACACCCACATGTTTGTTTTTGGCTCTCTCTCTCTCTCTGTCTCTCTCTCTGTCTCTTTGCTCCCCATTCTCTCACACCTTCTATCTCTCCCTCCCCCTCCCTCTCCCTCTCCCTCTGTGTGTGTGTGTATGTGTATGTATGTGTGTGTGTGTGTGTGTGTGTGTGTGTGTGTGTGTGTGTCCTCTTACGTCTCACCCTCCCTACCTCTCTCCCTCTATACCCCTGTCCCTCCTTCCTTACTTCCCTCCCTCTCCCTCTCCCTCTCCTCCCCCCCCCACACACGCACGCACACACTCACACACACACACACACACACACACACACACACACACACACACACACACACACACACACACACACACACACACACACAGAGTCCCTTTCGCATTACGCCTCCCGAACAGTCATTGAGGGCGAGGCATCCAGGTCGACCGTCCTCTGAAACCACCTTGGTTATGTCAGCTGGCGAGGGAGAGGGCAGGGAGGAGAGAGAAAGATGTACTAGGTGTGTGTGTGGAAGGGAGGAGGGAGAGAAAGGGAGAGAAAGGGAGAGAAAGGGAGAGGGAGAGGGAGAGGGAGAAGGTAGGAAGGAGAATGGAGAATGGAGAAAGGAGAAGGGAGATGGAGAGAAATGGAGAGGGAGAGGGAGAGGGAGAGAAAAGAAAAGAAACGAAATGAGCAGAGCAGAGAGAAGAAAAGTAAAGAGAGAGCAAAATATAAGAGAAAAAAAGCGAGCGAATGTGATTCCCCCCCCCGCTCCCCCCACCCAAAAAACAACAACAAAAAAACACACACAAACGCACAGACAGACAGACGGACAGCCTGAGGAGCCGGAGAGCGAGCCAGGCGAAGGCAGTCCCACCGCCGGCCAGGTCTCCGTCAGCGCCTTGTTTGTAAACCCCTTCCTTTCCCACGAGTAAACCCGAGCCCCGGCGCCCGAGTCTCACCCCTTTTATCATAACAGCGAACACACCAGGCTTAAAAATAGAGCCAAATACACGAATTCAGAAAAAGTCCTGACGACTCTTCCTCGGTTTTCCCTCTTCCGAAACCCTTTCCCTTGGCCATTACGAACGCGAGAAAATCTAATAAAAGACAAATAAATAAATCCATTGATAAATAAATAAATAGATAGAGAAATAAATAGTAAAAGAAAATGTATACAAAAACACAAAACAAACAGGATACTACGTGTTATGTTTGAGTGAGTCACGTATCTTATCACGGCATTAAAATTTATTACCCGCTGTGGAATGTCGAAAAATTTATCTTTATATAAATAGATTCATAAATACATAATATAACACCAAACGATCTGGTTACATTTATCTACAATTTCCGGTCATTTTTTTTTTGTTGCAGTTTTTTTTTCTTGGCCTTGGATTCACTCGCCTAAGAATGGATACTGACAAGCAAAAATCATCCTTTTAAACTCAATCGTTTTTCTTTAAAATTCCAATAAATACTGATTAAAGCAAGACTATTTAGCGTTTATCTTTTTCTTCTTTTTTCTGTTAAGCCTTTTTCTATCTATCTTGCAAGTTTCATCTCCATAACGATTTCCCCTTCTCGCATTTATGAAAAAAAAACGCGAGTATTTCTTTTCGAAAAATAACAATTCTAAAACATTACCCATTTCAACTAACTGCAATACACTCTAATACAAGAAAATGGCCCTTGATTGTTAGCAACTAAATTTCACTCTTAACCACATGCCATCATTTAGAATTTCTCTTTAATAGCCTTCAAGACAAATCTCAACCGAATTCCGAAAAAAGCAGACTGTTTTTTTTTTCTCTCTAATCCACTGCTACCGGGCAAATATACTTTCGACTGCATTCTTCTTCTTCTTCTTCTTCTTCTTCTTCTTCTTCTTCTTCTTCCTCTCCTCCTTCTACTTCTTTTTCACCTGACTTCCCTCTTCATCGGATTTTGGGGAGATTTTTTTTTTCTATAATGCTATTAATATTAGCCATTATCATTGTTGACTTTACGATTATAACAACATTAATAGTTATAGCACAAGTAAATATCATCTGCAATTATGGTGACTTGTCATTATTATTATCATTATCATCATTATTATTATTATTATCATTATTATTAATATTTATTTTTTTTTCTTTTTCGTATCATTTCGTTTCTCATAAAGAACATACCAGGCCTCATTTCACTCAGTTTAATCGACGAGTGGAAAATAGGTACTTTTAAAACTTTGGTAAATGCTGAACAACCTATAATTTTTTTTTTTTTTTTGTTCCGTTAAGAAATCGTATTAAAAAAAAAACTTCCGAAAATCAAACAATATATCACACATTCTTACCAGTTCAGTAATAATAATAATAATAATAATAATAATAATAATAATAATAATAATAATAATAACAGTAATAATAATATTAGTAATAAAGAAATATAAGATCCCCAACACAATGGAATACATAGGCCTACACTCGCACCCCCCCCCCCCTCAAAAAAAAAAAGCCTTTAACAGCTTATTACGGACTTGACTTTGTGACGAAACTCAGACAGGCAGCAGCGGGGTGCCGGCACGCCTTCTAGTTAGCAATAAATTTGGCTTGAAAGTAAAAGTGAAGGTAGGCCTATATCAACCATTTTATTTGTGCACGTCGAAGCCAAGAATGAACGCAATCAGACAACGCGTACATCCGATTCCGCTCGCCTGCTATTTTTGTGCAATCGAATTTCCTTTATTGCTTTATCACGTCCGATAACGAATGTTTCGCGACGGAAATGTTAATAATAAAAAAAAGAAAGAAAAAAAATCTCGTAAATCGCCTAATCTACCGACATATTTAAATTACTCTTTCCATCCCGTATGACACTTAGACGCTATTTCGTCCCCAGGAAATTGTTCATCTTGATAACGCCTATAATCTCTAATTCACGCCATACGATTATCCTAATAACATCCCACACTATCTTCGTATCTCCCCCATCAATCATTTTTCTTTTTCTAATTCGTCTTGATAAAACTTGAGAAACGAAACAAGACAAAGAAAAAGGAATCGGCGAAGATGATAACGTATTCGAATTCATTAAACGACAATTAATATGACTCGCTTTTATTTCGCGCCGTGACTGTCCGGTGCGAAAGGCTTACGAAGAAAGAATGTGATAATAATGCGAATATCCCGGATTGAAAGTAAGAAAGAAAAGGAAAGAAACTATGAAGAGAATAGAATAGGGAATCAGTAATAAAAAAATAAATCAGAAAAGATAATGATAATGGCAATGAAACCCCCACAAAGCTCAAGAACGAAAGAAAGAAAAATAGAAAGAAAAGAAGAAACGAATACGGACTCAGAAAACAAAATAAAAATAAACAATCCCAAAGCATACTAATAACGGCAGTGACACCCCCCCTCCCCCCCCCCAACACACACACAGCTTCCACCGGCCCATCCGGGAACCCCCACCCCCACCTCCACCTCCACCCTCACCCCCACCCAGGTAAGGAACCCGAGAGTCACCGAGTCGCGGGCGTAACCGGAACAGGTCCTCCTCCTCTCGTCCAGCGTATCAACCCGGGCCTGTTTTCGTCCTAGTACCGGGAAGTACCGGGATATTCACACTTTTCAACCGGGAACGCCCACGATCCGCTGATATCTCCCCCCCCCCCCACTCCACCTCCGGCCTTCGAACCAACCATGCCATCGCGGACACTCGCTATTGTCTTTATTGTAACGCTAATGATACCAACAATGACAACAAATACCCCCCCTTCCCCCCCCCCCCAAAAAAAAAACAAAAAAAACGAAAAACAACAACAACAAAACCTATTCCCAGATTTAATATTTCCCATCTGTCTCCTGCCTTCTGAACTTTGACTTTATCTAACATATAAATACACATAGACAATTTTTTTTCTTCGTCTTTCTCCACTTACCCAAACTGGATCTGCCTCACTACAACCCCGTGGTGCTGTATCACGTACCTGCAAGGAAAAAAAAGGGAAAAAAGTTAGTCGTTTGAATATAACAAGCACTATTAAAGGTACCTCATGTGACGAGGTTGATAATAATAATAGGCTAATAACACGTAAATAAACAAAGCACCAACCGTAGCAACTGTGGCCATAACCATAACAGAAATAACAATATCAATACGAGTTTCAATTGGTAATTATAAAAATAAAAGAAATACGGACGATGGTGAGAGCCTTACCACCATCACCCCCCCCCCCATTCCCCGTTCTCAATGTCACCATCAACACCACTCACTTCTCCCTCACCATCATCACTATCACCATCACCAGCGAAGGAACAAATGAACAATCACCACACCCTTGGACAATGGCCACGGCACAATCAACTGTTCAGATGTATGAGAGAATAAGATGACATGAATAAGAGAAAGAAAAAATAAAATGATAAGGATAAGAGAAAGAGAGATTAAACAGACATAAAATCGAGAAAGAGAGAATAAAATGACATGAATAAGAGAAAGAGAGAATAATATGACATAAATAAGAGAAAGATAGAATAAAATGATAAGAATAAGAGAAAGAGAGAATAAAACGACATGAATACGAGAAACAGAGAATAACTGACGAATAAGAGAAGGAGAGAATAACATGACATGAATAGGAGAAAGAGAGAATAAAACGACATGCATGAGAAAGAGAGAATAAACTGACATAAATAAGAGAAAGATAGAATAAAATGACACGAATAAGAGAAAGAGAGAATAAAACGACACGAATAAGAGAGAGAGAGAGAATAAAATGACATGAATAAGAGAAAGAGAGAATAAAATGACATGAATAAGAGAAAGAGAGAATAAAATGACATGAATAAGAGAAAGAGAGAATAAAATGACATGAATAAGAGAAAGAGAGAATAAAACGCCACGAATAAGAGAAAGAGAGAATAAAAGTTAAAAGAACAGCGCTAACAAGAACAATAATTCCCAAGGAGTGAACGAGAGGAACAATAAAAGCAAGAATAAAAATCAAGAACAACAGTAACAAGAGGAGGAATCAGAAGAACAAGAACAAAAGCAACAATAACAACGGCAGAAGCAAGCGCAACAAAAAGAGGAGTAACAAAGACAAGAGAAACAGTAAGAAGTAGATCAAGAGTAAACTTCAAAGAGTAACAAAACGCATCAAAATAACAATAACGAAAATAACGATGTGCAAGAGTAAACCCCCCTCACCCCCCCCCCCACCCCCACCCGACAACTAATACGGAATTCACTCCAGGGATCGCTGCCAGGGGAAAAACCCATCCATACGTCCATCCATCCATTTATACATACGTACATACATACATACGTACACTCGCTAACACAAACGTACCTCCCCCCTCCCCCTCTCCCGGACAAGTAACACGGCACTCGCTCCAGAGATCGGTGTCGAGGAAACCCATACACCCCAC